CATGAGCAGGTTAATCACTAATGTAGTATGTGTCTTTTTTTTTTTTTTTTTTTTTAAATTTTCTGTAGGGTTTTTTTTTTTTTTTAATTCAAGAAAATGAACGTGCCTTTTCAAGTTTTGTGACAAGTTGAAGTCATGAAGGTTTGCATAGAAGCAGAAGTATTCTCTATTTGATTACATGTGTTCTATACATTAAGATCGGTCAGCAGTGATTGACAAGTTAATTATGCCTCTTGGTTGCAATTTTCCATACTACAATAAATGTAAAGGCATTTAGCATTTTCTTTATTTTTATTCTCTGCACCCTATTTTGAACAAAAAGTCCCTATGTTTGAACTTCCAAAAGGACAGGTTATATAGCTGTATGATGAAGCATAGGTGTGGTTGGGTGAATTGGATTGGAGTTTTAGTGAATTAGATCCAGAATTTAGGATTGGCCATATTCAAAATATCAGAATATTGAGCAATATGCACCCTATTACAACCAGAAACATGCAATGTCCCAGTTTTAGTGGTGAAGTGAAACAAACAAGCCATCACCAGAATATTTCTTAGCTGTTGTTAATGTTTGTATGAGCACGAAGATCTATAATGAGTGACAAGAATTGTAGTGTTTAGAAAACTGTTCTTATGCCTAGTACACACAATAATCTGATTGTTAGTACACAGCTTTCAAGAGTCGATCATAGCAGTTCATGCTAAATTATTCAAAGGGACAAGCATGAAAAATGTTCTCGTATGACACCAAAACATGATTTTCATTTAATCAGTACAGTATTTGTATGAACAAAATCAGAAGATCAACACCATGCATGCTCAGATACGAAAGAATACATTACAGGACAATACATTACATCACTTCCAAAGTTCTACTCTGTCGTACAATTTTTTTAACTTTAGTAGGCTCTTCGTTTTCAATATGAGACTAGCATGCAAAAAAAAAAAATGGATGATCATTCATCCAATATATACTCATCTTGTATACGAGGCTTTAGAAAACGGAATTGAAGGGCTCACAGCAATACACAGACAGTTCTGGTTTTACTAACTTTTGCAACCTAAAAGTTTTAAATTTTTTTTTTTTCTAACTTGAGTTTGAAGTGTTTATAACTACCTGTTGTCCATACAGTTGAACTGTTAGCATTGGAGTCAAGGTTGGCTCACTCCTGGCTCCAATTAGCTCTGGGAGAAGTCATTAAGCTAGGGCCTCACATACTTTTTCCTCCCTGCACTGTGAATGTTTACACGTTTTGTGCAATTAAACCATGGCAACATCTAATGTTTGTGTAGTATTATGTTCAGCAGACTGTGTTCTTCTATTGTTGTGACTTAGATGCCGTTCAGAGCACATTTTATGCCCAATTCATGCAAAACTCCACGTAATCCCAAGGGGTTCACATACTTTTTCTTGCAACTGTATATTAACACACGGTTTGGCACTGGTATCAGTACAGAAATATATATGTATTTTTTTTATAAAGCAGGGTACAATTTTAACCCCTTCACGCCGGATTGTCCCGCCATGAAGAGGAGTTCCTGTGCTGGGAGGTGGACGGCGCAGGGCTTAGTGTCATGTGGCCGCCGTGATGTCACGTCATGGCCGGTCACATGATCGGGAAAGGTCCCGATCGAAAGAGCGGACCGAGACCTTTCTGAGAGTACCGCACATGTGTGCTGGGAACGCGCAGGGCGTACGCTCTCAGCACATATGGTTTTTGTTACATGAATGCAAATGTGAGGTCGCTTGGCGTCTAGGCCCAGGCGCCGGGAGGCCGCACATTTGCGTGCGGCCGGCGTGAAGGGGTTAACTTTTGGAGATGGCTCAGTCTTCCATCCAACATTTTAGATAGGCATCTCCTTTTGCTGAGAACCATGTAAACTAACGCCTAATTTTTTTTGCACACCAATTGAAAGAGCATATTTTTTTCTGTACAAAATAGGATATATAACCAATAAAGTGAAATAAATGGAGATGCCTCCTTTTTGCTGAAAACCCTCCAGTTATATTCAGACTAGATAGATTGCCTATAGGCCAGAATATGAAGCATATAGTCCAAGTCTTTTAGCATCTAAATGGCAAATAGCCTAGAAACCATGGATATAATAATTTTTTCTTCTGTAATATTCTTCCTCAAAAGTGTAAGAATTCTTCTTATTCAAATTAAAAAGAAAAAATTATATTTGCACATAGTGCATTTATTCCCAGTATGTGATATATTTCACAAAACGCATTTCCAAACACGTGAAAAAAGCATGCAAAATTCCACCTTGTGACCACTTCTAAACTAACTGTTATCCTTACTCTTACCCTAAAAAAACTTTAAATCAATATCACTTTTAAATAACTCTGTGTCTTCACTTCTCAATCCGTCCACCTCAATGTAGGAGATGCACCTCCAAGAAAATTTGTAATATCCTTAAAACAATGTATACACTCTTGTGCGCCCTTCACGTCTCAACAAATCAGCAGTGACTGTGAACACATAAACCGCCACCTCATATATAATTTTCTTGGAGGTGCATCTCATACGTTGAGGTGGACGGATTAAGAAGTGAAGACACGGAGTCATTTAAAAGTGATTTTGATTTAAAGTTTTTGGGTTTTTTTTAGGGTAAGAGTAAGGATAACAGTTCAGAAGTGGTCACAAGGTGGAATTTTGCATAATTGTTTCACGAGTTTGGAAGTTCGTTTTGTGAAATATATCACATATTGGGAATAATGTGCGAATATAATTTTTTCTTTCGAGGTTTATTTGAATAAGAATTCTTACACTTTGGAGGAAGAATATTAAAGAAGAAAATTATTATATCCACGGTTTCTAGGATATTTGCACATTTAGATGCTAAAAGTCTTGGACTATATATTTTGGACTTTCGGGGGAGAAAGTGTATTATTTTGGTATTTGGGATTTTTGTAAATACTATTGGCACACCGATATATTCACTTATATCAGAATATGAAGCACACAATAAATAATTTTAGTGAATGAACACAGGTCTATCCTTGATTGTCTTCTAATTGGAAAAAATTGAGAACTGTGGGAAGATAATGGCTCCATAGGATTGACTTGGACAGTCCCAAATCAAAAGTTAAAAAAAAAAAATCCTCTCTTCTTCACAATAATTGGAAACATATCTTAAAAGAGAAGTTTGGGTTTTTTTTTCCCCCAAAACATACTTACCTAGGTGTATGCAGCATTGGTCCAATGCTGTATCTGTCCCCCGCCAGCTCTAAGTTTGAGAACTGCTGTGAACAAAGACCGGTGACCGCTGTCTGTTCTCACTCCCTTAGTGACATCGAAGGAACTGCACTCCTGTGATCCACAGGAGAACTACAGCAAAAAGAACTTTGGCTGTGCTTCTTTTAAGGTTTTAAATATGTTTGAGGAAGTAGTTTGGCTGCTTTTTTGTTAAAATATACACATTTGAAAAGAAATCAAATAGTTTGTGTTTTTAACAATATCTAAGTGAACTACATTTCATAAACCTATCGTAATAATTTTTTTTTTCAGAAAAAGTGCTATGAGTATTAAACCGAACATTGAAGACCAAGTATATCTTGGTGCCGGCCGAACGCAAATGTGCAGCCTCCTGGCGTCTGGGCCTGCGCGCTCCAAGTACACATGTCTGGTACTCACGGAAAGGTCCCCGATCTCCTCTTTCGATCGAGACCTTTGCCGATCATGTGACGGCGTGTCACGCGGTCACATGACCCTAAACCCCACCTCTCCTCCCGGCTTCTGAAACACTTAAAGGGCCAGGACCTGCCGGCGCCAAGGGGTTAAAGTCAGATTAAAGCCAAACTCCAGGGGAACCGCTAAATAGGCAGACAAAATGCATACAGTATATAGGAACTGATTTACCTGTCAAAACGTTTTTATATTCTTGTTTATCCAGTTCTGTAATTTATACTGCTCTTCCATTCAGCACAGCTCTGCTTGGCAGGGCAAGAGGCCTGTTTATTCTCTGCTGTACTTCAGTTAAATTTTAGATCCAGTTCCCCTAGCTTGTGACTGGACAGTAAAAGGGGAAATGACAGACATGTGAGCTCATCTCTGTCACTTCGCCCTCTCCTCCAATTAGCATGTCCCTTGTTAGAATGTGCATTGCAAGATACTGAACTAGCTCCTTGTGGTTCTTTTCTGTCTCCTGGTCTGAGCAATCTTGTACATGGGGACAGCAACACTCTATCAGGTGAAATTTGGGTGCTTGCACTGCTTTCAATAAAAATGTACATTTAACAATCTTTGAATACAGTACTGCATTATGTTGTATATTTTATATCTGCCTGGAGTTCAACTTTAATTATTGTTGTTGAATTATTGTTGTCTTTTTAATTACTTGTTAATATTACATGCCTAGTTTTGTTTATTTTTAAGGATTTCCTTAATAAAACAGTATTTTTTTTATTAAAGTGGTAGTAAACTCCTATTTTTGATAATAAAGCTTACCTGTAGGTAAAATGAATATCTCCTAAACGTGCACCATTTAGGAGATATTCTATTTTTTTTTTTTTCAGAGACAATGCATGCGCTTACTGTGCCGGGAGTGACTTCATCGCGGCCCACCTGTTAGAAGGCCATAAGCCTGGACAGAAGACTGGGTGAAGATGGAAGCCTCTGCAGCAGTGACAGCACGCCTTTGGAGGGCTTTGTTTTAAGGCAAGTCCTACATAATGTGCTAGTATGAGATGCATACTAGCACATTATGACATTACCTTGCAGTGGACTTTTTTTCTTTTTCCTGCAGTTTACTACCACTTTAAGGCACATAATCATTGTTACATAACATTAATATATTACCCAAACAACCTTTTTAATTGTACATATTTTTTGTCTTTTAGTTGAAGGTACAGAAACATGACATGAAGTAAACTGTATGTAGCTCCATGCTGGCGGTAAAGCTGCACACTACAAACTGTTTCAAGCAATCCAAACACATTTATAAACACTGATTATTGTCCATTACAGTGTGAAACAGAACAGGGGCTAAAATATGTCTTAATTAGCTTTATTGTCTGTTTCTGTTTTTTCAATTTTTTGTCCAGTGAGAAATTGCCAAATTCCTCCTCTGTAGTTTTCATTTCCAAGTCCATACACATAGGCATTCACAGCAGGGGAGATCTTGGCCAAGACAGCAGGCAACTGCAAAAAGATGTGACCTCGGCTTAGTTTGGTCAAAGTAATATGTTTTTATATACTATAGCAATGTCAATGTTTAAAGAAAAAAAAATGCATTTAGCAGTTTTAACACTTTTTATTGCACACTTGTAATTTTATTATTGCATCCTCAATATTGTATTTTAGAGATGTGCATGATGGAAAAATTTTGTTTTGTTTCGGATTCCTTTAACACTTTATTCATTGTATTCGTTAACTTAGAATTAATTGTTTTTGGAATTTGTTTAGTATATTCAGATTCATTTTGTATATTAATTATTTTCAAATTGAGTCGAAAATCCAAATTTTAGATGACCGCTATATTCTATTTTTTTTCTATTCTACGTTTTTCTTTTATATTCTACTCTTTTCTATTCTATTCCTTTATTTTATAGTCTATAAAGCAGCTTAAGTAGGAAGCATAATCTTTTTTCACTTTTATACCTTACTGTATTTGTTGTAATATGTTTCCAATTCAAATCCATTTTTGAATTCGGATAATTCGTTTAGGCATAATTTATTTCTGATTTGTTGAAATTGTGATTTGGAAATGTTGTGATTTGGACATTCTAATAATTCAAATCTTTAAATAATGAAAATTTTGTCCAAATTTTGATACGTAATGAAGCAAATCACACATGTCTATTGTATTCCCCTATCCACATGTAATGTAGCAGTACAATATCGCATGGTAATTTTTGCCCCAAGGTAAACAGTCTGGGAAATAAACCTGCTACCTCCACAGGTTTGTCTCCTTATAAAGCCTATAAATTATTTGCCTATAAAGGCAGGGTCATCTAAAGTAATAGTGCATTTTTGCTGACACCTCTGCTCACCTGCATTGGTTTTTCAGAACTTTTTGGTATGCTTTTAATCACATTTTGCTTTCTGTTAATGGCAGATATACTATATCATAAAGTAGTTCGTTAGGACTGTGCCTAAAGATACATGCAAACATGACATGCTTCCTGCAATCCCCTTTAGGAAATGCTTACATTTAGGCCTAACTTCTAGGTACACAACCTGTGAGTTGAGTGAGGAAGGAATAAAACCCAGACTGGTCTTTGCTGCTATCTGGGGCTCATTTAAAGGTCCTGGGTAGTGACACTAGCATTGTATCTACCACTAGGAAACATGCTCCTTACGTTCTCCTTCCATTTGTTTTATTCCTTAACTGATCCCCATCCTTTACATCCATTTTATGTCTACCATCTCTATAGAACTACTACTTGCAAATTTAATACATTTTAATAGTATACATGTTTCAAGCCATTTTCTTACCATCCGTAACTTTGGCGAAAGGATTGTTGCATCCTGAATAACTGCATAAAAGCACAGCAGTGAATATGGACCCCAACATACAATCAATGATTTTACAGGTAATCCAGAGTTCATCTGTAAAAATTAAAACTGTATTTATTCTGGGAAAGTCTAACTATGCAAAACATTGTTACATCAAGCAAAATTTTAGTTTTAAAAGCTAGATTTTATTAATCATTTGACATTTAGGTTCACTTGTTGCTATTCATAAAACTGCATGTAACATAGTATTTAACAGCCAACTTGGATTTCAACATTTCTGAATAGTAATGAATTCTACAAGTTATGACTATTTTATCTTTGCAATCTGTTTAAATGTTGCATTTTAACATTTTCATGACTACAATGCAGATTTGCTTTACATCAAACTTTTGTTGGAGCAAAGAAGTCGCTCTATAACACTTTTGTCTATAAATGATTAATCTAAATCCATACTGTGCATAACATCCTCCAAGTGAAACAGAAATGAACAGCAACTGTCCTCAGCACACCATCACATCAGAACATAACATATACAGGGTGACAATATGTATCTCTCCTTATTGCCTTAAGTGTTCAAGGAACTAGCTTACATATGATAATGTGACCATAAAATACAATTTACAAGGGACTACAGCTAAACCACAGCAAGGAACTTTTGCCTGAATTTTAAGGTAGTGTCATATCCATCCCCCTTGCAATTCCTAAGCACTTTTATAGACTACACACAATTTTGTACCTTTACGATATGAATCAAGTGACTGAAAGTTACTGTATATACTGTACCTTCTTTTTCTTGTTTTTTTACCAATATCTATTACTGCTTATACAAAGTAACACAGTGGGAGGGCATGTTTGAGACATAATCTGGACCTTTAAGTCCAGCTATGTATATATTTACAGCCTATGCTTCACTTTTTCTTTGCACTCCCTTAGCTGGTTCAGTGATTTTGTCTTCTTTGGTGGAAATGAAAAACTGTCCTTCCTCCTGAACTGAGCAGTGCATGTTGATGTCCCCCGTTAGGGGGGTGTCATGAATAGCCTAGGCTCACAAGAAGTACGTTGAATAACACTGACTGTCTTTCAGCCTGGAAGAGGACCAGTAGCATTGGACAGAGGGAGAATATGGGGACACTGTTGGCCATATCATTTTTATTGGGGGGGGGGGGGGGTACTTTTGGGGCAAAAAAAATCCTTTTTAGAGTTCTACTTTAAGTTTAATGAGCTGATGTACCTCTAAATACTTCATGGTTTCCTATCTGATCATAGGTATTTAATTTTACTTTGAATTAATTTTTACGTTAATGTTCCCACATAAAATATACCAGTAGAAAGATTTACCAAGCCTACTCTCCAAAGTTCATAAGCAAGATGGGAAACAAAAACATTCATTTTGTAAATTGTTGATTTGTAGCCAGATAACATAAAAAAAAGAAAAAGAAGAAAATGGGAAGTAAAATGGCAGTTGGCTGTAATGACCAACTGGACTACTTGTTAAATTGTAGAAAATGGAAAAAAAAAAAAAAAAAAAAAAAGAAAAACTTAATGGACACTGTCAGAAACAGCCCCATTACTGCTAGCCTTTACCTTTCGGCTTTTTTTTTTTTTTTTAATAGACCTTTTGATAGGAATTCAAACCTTTCCCAACACAGTTTACAAAAAGAAAAAGGACAGACACAAAAAGATGCAGTTGCATCTCAAAATGGATTGGCAGTAATTAGATTATTCTCACAACCCTAATTCCAAACACTGTTGAGTCCTTTACACTGGTGGGTATAGTAGAGGGGGCTAATTCCATCTTCTACAACATGACTACACATTTTACTCGGCACCACACAATACCTACTCCTGAATAGATCATGCTTGGATATATCATACATTTCTGCCTAAAATAATTGCCACAGTATAACCTTGGCCCATGGTCTGACCATGATGTTATGCCACTCTCTAATATGTAAACCAAGAAATGTCCACATAGTCACTGAAAGATTCCCTCCTTCCTTACATAGAAATAGTCTACAAACTTTAGTAATTCACTACTGACTATTTGAAACTAAATACAGCACTAATACTGTTGATCCTCCGATCATATTGTGAGAGACATATGTAAAGTGGTGCTTTGGGGTCATGTAATGCATACAGTATGATAATAATAGTTTCCCAGTGCTGTTGGAGACAAAACAAATGTCAGCTTGCACTTAAAACCAAATTCAATGCTTTATCTCAAACCCAAAGATCTCACCCAACTCATACTCGTGGACACCTTGGCCATTTTCATAACAGAACTGAGCTTATGTTTTGTAAAACCATAGATATCTGCAAATAGCCCCACTCCACTCATGAGGGAGGGGGGGATATCACGGAAAGATGGGGATTTCAATGGTGCTGTCAGATATATAAAACACAATGTAGATGAAATCACTTTTTTATTTATATAATTTTAAAAAGTTTTCTTCGTATCTAATCCATACAGTAAAAACACAATACTGGCTATATTACAATTAACAAGTACATGTGCTTAAAGTTGGATGAAACAAAGAAGGTATGGACTGACGTGTTTCACCCGAGAAGGGGGGCTTCTTCTGGATCCAATTTGTTTTATGCACTGTACAATTTTATAGCCATGCAAAGGAGTCAATCAGCATCCTAGTATATATGCAGAAGGGTACTTGTAAATAAAGTAAAAAAATTGAAAGCCACTCCTAGATGTACATATTATACCAATCGATGACATAGGATATTTAAACTAGGCAGTATGTCCACATGATCAGTATGGGTGGTCGAAATGTCGGTTGCCGCCATTTTGGCTGCTCTCTTTAAACAAACTGATATTCCTTCACAAGCAATCATGTGGAAAATTTTTAAAGACTTTAAATTCCATCTATTTTGCCTATATAAATCCTCTGTTCTTTTGTCTACAGCAAGGGAGGAGGAAATCTTTTGAGACTTAAGCTTCCCTTCAATTTCATCCATTGTTTTCCAGGCAATTAAATATATTAAGATGGGTAAATGCTCCAGTCCAGATGGGTATACTGCTTTTCTGACCTTTGTGCACCTTGCCTCTAGCCTGTTTTTGAATTATTCATTGCGAGCACCAACTTAATACGATCCAAATCTTCCTTTGACACATTCCCCTGTCCAATTTGTAGGCCAATTTCACTTAAAACGGATGTAAAATTGTTAGTAAAGATTGTGGCCACTAGAATAAACTATTCAAAATTACTTGGTTGGCTTTGTGCATGTAAGATATCTGGGTGAATAAATTTGAGCTCTATAACTTTTGCATCTTGCCCACTTCTGCTCTCTGAAGATCTCTTGGCAATATAGGTCTTCTGCCCTTCACAAGTTGGTTCCAAAATTCTCTCATTTGTCTCTGCCCTTTACACACATCCCTCAACTTCCATTAAATACAGGGGCTTTGAAACTGAATTGTTTCCCATTCAATGTTGTAAATAACAAGCAATCAACTCTTTCCTATTCTATTCATTCCCGCTCTGGAACTCCTAGCAGCAACAATACTTTCCAGTCCATCTATTCAGGATCTCTGAATTAGAGGGAGATATCATAAACTTCTATTTACAGATGTTCTACTAAATGTCTCCATTCCCCACATCTCTTATCTTGGCCTTTTGGAACTCTTCATGCCTTTTGGAAAAATCTCCTGCTTCTAAGTCCAAAGCCATTCACATTACTTTGAGTAGATTATTATAAATGCAGCACTAACAACATCTTAGAGGGATCATCACGCACCGGCATAGACCGTGGCCATCTTGTTGGCTGGAAAAACTGTATTGATATGCTGGCTTTTATACTAAAGAATGTGCATAAGAATGTGAATTAATTATTGTTTGCGGTTTTACTACACTTGAGCTGGCTTTGTTCTCTTCTGTGGTGTTTGTTTGCCCTGAGAGAGATTTGATTTACATGAGATTGGAATCACATTCCGGAGTCTACTTGCCATTGTTCAGGCCTGAAAACTGTGCTATTTGACCAATCCTTACAGTGGTCAAATTCTTTGGTAAGAGACAGTGTGATTGGGTGGATGATGAAAGATTCTTCTCTCTATGCCTTTCTTTCCAAGCACCAGCACTTGCAGATCTATGATGACTTTGCATGGACTAAAAATTTGATAATTTTGTGTGGATTTGCCCCCTTCCTAATCCACTATTGGTGGGGTTGTACGTTTATAACGTTTTATGCTTCTGTCGTTAGTGCTACACTTTTAACTACATACCATATGATGTGTTTTGCCTATTGCTAGCTGCTTTTTTAACTTTTTCTTTTTGATACCTGAGAGCAAGTGTTTTTTTAATATACATTACTTTGAGCCCTGAATCTCTTCAACAAACCCAATCAAACTATAATTTACTTGGACTACAGCTCTACCTTATTTTGGGATCTATCTCAGCCCAACCTATGAATCCTTCTACATCCAACTATCTTTCCCTCCTTTGTGGCTTGTTTTCTGTGTGTACAAATGAAGCAAACCTGCAGTCAGTGCTAAATAGATTAAGAAAAATTGTATAAAAAGTGTATAAAATAAAGTGAAATATCATATAAATACAAAACAATACAATACTAGACAGCAGAACCACTGGCATCTGAATAATAAATTGCTCAGGAAACAAAAGAAAACATGTTTGCTATCCATTTAAGGAAGTCGCAATAATGGAATCTCCATTAAGCACCAACTGTATGAAACTCCATTGTGTATATGTGTGTATATGTACACACACAATATATTGTCAAAGTATTGGGACGCTGCCTTTACACGCACACAAACTTTATTGGCGTCTTAGTCTGTAGGGTTCAATATTGAGTTGGCCCACACTCCTAAGATGGCCGCCGGGCCTCCTCGTGGCTCCAGGCGGCTGTGACGTCACGCTCTGTTGGCTCCTCCTTAGGCCTTTCGTGCAGAGCACATCATCAGAGGGGAGGCCATCTTTACTAAGGGGTCAGTATAACTCTTTAAACTCCACCACTGAGTTTTATGCAGTGTTTTACTACCCTGTTTTATCTACTTGCATTCTGAATAAAGTCTTCATAAATACTACACTATGGGCACGTGTTTTTTGGCTCCCATTGGAGCTAATTAA